TAGTTAAAACTATACAGCCCCAAGTTGTTCTTCTGTCAAAGAGTTAATTTCCAATCAGCTTTCCTGTTGAATATATATGCAGTTGTTTCTTCAGTTAGGGCTTCCACGAAAAGCTAGGGTTAATTAGGGTTAACCTCAAGACTTGGTCACAAGACTTTATCAACCAGATTAGGGTTGAGCTAGGTTAACCTAAAGTCCACGTGAGATTCTGTTCTGGAATGTATGAACCAAATTCCTGAAAAATCTCAGAATAAACCAAGCTGCATAACTGTTAGATCAGTACAGGATGTCTTAACATTTGTTATGACAACATAAATCCTGTTTACTGATTTTGGTAGAAAGTGATAAATGTGATCATTTGCAACATGCTCAGATACACACTCATAAATAGCAGTTACTGTATGCCATTATTTTTCTGCATAAAGTACCTAATGATCCAGAATGTTATGACATCAGTCATGACATTCACACACCTGGTTTTACCAAAAATACATGCCAATAACTAAACACTTACAGAATCTGAGATGCTTCAGTGTTGCTTTTGACTTTTTTCCTCTTCCTTCTTATCAATGATGATAGCTCTGAGATATTTTTGCTTCAGTTATTGTTTGGCTTTGGCTTGGTTGGAATTTGGCTTTGGGCAGGCTGTATGTTTTAACAGGTTTGTGAGTTTGAGGGTGTTGTTGGTACAGGTTTATTGTTTGCTTGTTTGAGTTTGGATTTGAGTTGGTTCAGGTTTATGGGCTAGGTGGTTACAGCTTCAGGGCTTGTTTCTACCAGTTTTGCTTTGGTTTCAAGGCAGTTTTTGAGGCTTGTTTCAGGGCTTGCAATTTACTGAGTTTGAGGCATATTTTGCAAGGCTGTTTGTTTGAGGTTCATGTGTTTGGTAGCTGTAACAGATTTGTATGGCTTGTGTTTATAGGTTACAGGATGGCTTGAAGCAGGTTATTGGTATGAGTTTGAAAACAGGTTTGTATTTTGAGGCTTGTTTGGAAGTTACCAGGTTGAACACAGGTTTTAGTTGGTTCAGGCTTGCTTTGTAACAAGTTTAAAGCTTGAGGCAGCTTTGTTTGTGTTTTTGATACAGGCTTGAGAGCTTGTGTTTTTAGCTTTTGCAATGTTACAGTTTTGTGGTTTTACGCAGGATTTTGAAGTTACAGCTTGAGAGCTTGTGTTCTCTTTCTATGTGTATTCTGCCTCTTCTTTATAGTGTTGATTCTGTTTGTTTTATATCTCTTAAGCCTGCCTCAACAAACTGTAATCCTATACTTTTTTTACTCTCTTTCTCTCTATCAGAAAAGCATATTTTAATGCTTTACTGTCCTTTTTTCTGAAAAAGTGATGGCCTGGAAAATGATGATATTTGAAATAAGTTGCTTGCATTGTTAGCTTTGCTCTGCCTCTTGTACTTTCTTCTGCATTTTTTCAGATTTCCTGCACAGTTTTGATAGCTTTGATATCTTTTGACAACTTTGACAGTTTAGTTGACATTGTGACTTAGTTGGCCATTTTGACAATTTGGTTGCCTTTTCAGTTTGCAATTTGGTTTGGATTTATGTAGCTTGTCCCTTTGGCTATTTTGAACTGTGCAGCTTGTTTGAATTTGTGCATTTTTGTATTTGATTAATTCATGCTTGCAAACATTTAATTTCTTTCCCTCTTTGTGAACCAAGAGTCCTCTTGTGATTTGCAGAGAGGGAAAACAAACTGATTCCGGCCAACACTTTTAATGATGAGTTTTGATTAACTGTCTGAGAATGCTTTTTTTTTTTAAAATTCATCTGTACTGACTTCTTTCTTTTTTGTCTTTGCAGATAAAAATCAGTTGAGCAATGGGGAGCAGCAGTAGAAGATGAAGACTTAGGAAAATTAGGATATAGCTTTATTTTATTTTAATCATTTGTAATAAATATTATTATAAATACTTGTAAATAATTACTGTATTTAAATAACACTTGTACCAATAATTAAAAATAAATAAAAGTCTTTTTGTCAGATATCTCTTTTATTTCACTGTCTATTTAATTATTTAAGTTTTCTTGAATTAAAATAACTGGAAGTAAATCCCAATTATTCTAACTTAGATAAAATAAATAATTAATAAACACTGCAGTCTTGCAACTTCGCATTAATCAATAATAAACCCGGCGTCCCAATTAACCACATGTATTGCACAGTCAATCAAGACAAATGTCCATACGCCTTTCATTTCACTGATTAAACCAAACACTTCAAACTCTCAATCAGAAGCCTCAGCTTCTATCCCAGATGTTTAAACTTTGAGAAACAAACAGGAATTTTGAACAAGCGTCAAAACCATGTGACAGTCAATTGAAAAGAACCGTAGAATTGATTCCTTCTGAGAATGCGCGCGTAAACCCTAGAATTCTTGATTTATTGTCAAAGAAGCGTCCGCCTGATCAAACCCTGAGCCAAATTCAACCAAATTAATAAAAACCCTGATAATCTGTTTGACTTGATTCAAAAGTCAATGGAAACCCTAATTTTGTCTGACTGGTGAGAAAAGTCTGTTTGACTGATTCTTAAGCCAATCTGAAAAATCAGGAAAAGCCCGAAGCTGTGATTTCTTGTGAAAAAGAGGAGGGCAAATTTTGGGGTACAACACGGGCCAAGTATTCTCAGAGAGATTCTGCCTGACCTTGTCAGACGTTGAACATGGATGTCGTGGACACCTTACGATGTTTGTTAGCGGAGAAGTGTTGGATTAGCTTTTTCGTTAGGCCTGTGTAGCTTTCCATGGATAGTCGTGGTAAGCTCATGTACCATCACAGGGCCACATCCTTGAAGGTTCTGGACATTAGTTTACATTTCAATGAATCAGTGGAGCCAATTATCGTCATTTGGATGTTGATGGCGATAACATGCTCTTAAGGGCCAGTCCTGTCATCGTATGTTGTCAATGATTGTGGTTTGAAGTTCTCTGGAACTTGGTCCTCCTAGATAGCTTGTGATAGGGGTTGAGGCTTCAGAAGCTCCTCTTTCGGATCGTCATCCCCTACGCTTCTTTGTTGTAGGTCTGTAACGTTATCCTGCAGAGTTTCGCTCTGCTTCCTGAGGGCCTCCACCATGGCAAGTAGTTGCGCCATGTCTAGGAGATCTTCAGGTGATGACATTTTACAGGGGTAAGTTGAGGTATGGCCTAGGAATAATTTTACCAAGGCCCCACGGTGGATGCTAATGTTTCTGTATAGAACAAATATCCAGCCGACTTCCTAGGAGGTAACTAGGGAGAGCCTACCAGAGAGAGTTTATGAGTTGATTGGAGGATTTAGGAGCTACGAATGATGTATGCGTCCCAAGATGGATGTCTTGCTTATCCCTCATGTGGGAGCCCCTTTATTAGCGAGTGTCTTGGCTTCATCAAGAGCCTCAGTTAATAAGGGACTCTTGAGTTTTATAACTGTGTAACCACCGTCGTCTTCATGAACGAAAATGATTACTGCTATATAACGTTGCAATAAATGCATCACCGGAAATTACATACCTTAATTTAATATATTTTTTTATATTTCAATTAGATTTTTCAAGAATAAATGTAAGAAATTGATATGGCAGTCACAACATCTCCTTTGATAAGCATGCACAAAACAAGAAAAAGATGTTGACTCAGGAAGAAAATTTGACTTCAGTTTTATCTTCTCATTAAAAACTAACCACATGTATGTAATTTTAGTTTTCTGAGCATTAATTGAATTATAGCCAAATCGAACGGACATGAACTTAAACAGGAAAGCAAAAATGAATTAAAAGACAATATAATTAGTATAATATAGGAGCAATTACCCATCCACCATTGTTTTCAACGTGAATGACTTTTAGTTATGATGCAAATCAGATTACGTGTTACTTATCTCAGTCCTTAAACATAAAATATGCTAACTCATTGCATAACTTCAAACAGAAATATTTTTTCTGAAAACAGTTGCATAATAAAATATTTTCAATTATGGTGGTGCACAAGGATTACATTACAAAGATGCACACTTAAAACTTTTATAATATTACTAGACGGTTAACTCTATAAATTTCATGTAAATTCAGGAAAAGAATTATGTGCAGCTTCATTTCCTTTGTCGTAAATAAACTTGATAAGTTTAAGAATGATTTAAGTATTAATTTTAATTTCAAAGGTGAAGCCATGTCGAATCAGTGTTGCCTTTAAAACTTGAACAAGAATAAAAAAAAAAGAGAGACTAAAATCCATATGCACAGGGCGTGGTCCGCGAGCTAATTCGATGAGCGCGCAAGGTAGGTTGTGGCGAATGTGCAGAGCAGAGTACGACGAGTCAAAAATTCCAATCTAATCCACAATTTTTTGACGGGTGTACGGCTTGACATTCCACGACACGTTTTACCACCCTTAAATTAAGTAATAAATATTTAATATTTAATTATATTAGTTATTTTTTAAAAAATATTTTTAGAAGTCTTTTATTTTCTTGTGATTTTGTTATTTGGATGGTTAAAATGTATTTAACTCATTTAGAGTTTGCAGATGACACTTTGTTAATGCGGTCCAAGAGTTGGGCTAGTGTTAGGGCCCTTAAAGCAGTGTTGTTGTTGTTTGAATCCATTTTGGGATTAAAGATAATTTTTAATAAGAGCATGTTAGTGGGAGTGAATATTTCTACTTCTTGGTTGGTGGAGGTAGCTAGGGCGTTTAATTGTAAATTGAGAGCTATTTTGTTTGTGTATCTGGGATGCGTATTAGGGGCAATCTGCGTAAGTTTAATTTTTGGCATTCGTTGTTGAATAGAATCAGAAGCAGGTTATCTGGGTGAAAAAGCCGTAATATATCTTTAGGAGGTCGTTTGGTTTTGTTGAAGTTTGTTATATCCTCAATCCTGGTTTATTTCCTTTCTTTCTTCAAGGCTCCCTCATGTATCATTTCTTCCCTTGAATCTTTATTTAATGCCTTCTTTTAGGGTGGTAGGGATAGTAGTAGAAAAATAATATGGATCAGTTAGGAGACTAGTTGTATGTGGAAGGAGAAGGGGGGTTTATGGGTGAGAAGGTTGACGGAGTTTAATGATGCTTTATTGGGGAAATGGTATTGGAGGGTGTTGGAAGCGAGAGGAAGTCTTTGGTATAAAGTTTTAGTGTAGTGTTATGGTGAGGAAAGGGGCGGTTGAGGTTTGGGGTTCAACGAGGGTTTTTTTGGTGGTAGAATTTGAGTAGGATCAGACAAGGGGATGAGTTGATTGATAACGGGTGGCTGATCGATAATATTGAGAGATCGGTAGGCAACAAGGTAGACTCTCTTTTTAAGAGGGATCCTGGGTTGGAGGGAGGTGTGCTGATGAATAGATTCCAAAGGCTTTATAAGCTATCTGAGTATAAGGGTGCTTCCGTAGCGGAGATATTTTCCTTAGGGTGGGGGCCGGATGAAGAGGCTTGGAGATGGCGTAGGAGGTTGTGTGCGTGGGAGGAAGAGTTGGTTGGGGAGTGTATTAGGTTGATGGATTCTTTTGTTTTGCAGGACGAGGTTGTTGATTCTTGGGTGTGAAGATTACATTCTTCTAATCAGTATAATGTTAGCAATGCTTACCATCTTTGACAATGTCGGCGGATCGTCAATAATACGGTGATTCTCATGCTTGGTAGTCTAAAGGGGTGTCGCTAAAGGTTAATGTTTTTTCTTGGAGGTTATATCTTAATAGGTTACCGACAAATGATAATTTGGTTAAGCGTCAAATTATTATAGCTGCGGAGCAGTATTGTACAACAAATTATGAAAATATGGAGGATAAGGATCATATCTTTGTTCGGTGTGATTTTTATGGTAAAATTTGGTCTTTGATGTCTGGTTGGTTAGACTTCTCGTCGACTTTTTAGGATCATCTTCGAGATCATCATGATCACTTTGTGACGTTGAGAGGCTGGTCTAAGTCAAATGTTACCGCTTTCCACATCATTTGGGTAGCAGTAGTGTGAAGTATTTGGAAAGCGATCAAAAGGTTTTTCAGAATGTTAGTCAGTCTTTGAGTTCTATTAGTGAAAAGGTTAAAATTCAGTCTTACTGGTAGTTGAAATCTCACTTTCAATCATTTATTTTTGATTATCAGTACTGAAAGTTAAATTCTATGCAATATATTAAAGATAGTGTCTTATAGTTTTAGTCTTTGTTTTGAATTGTTCGTTTTGTTCAAGTTTGCGTTGTAACTATATTTTTATAGTTCTTCTGATACTTCTTGTGTTGGAAGAGCTTTTTGGTGCTTAATATATCATTTTAGTTTCTTAAAAAAATATTAAATATATGAAATAAATCTATTTTACTTTTTATTTATCTTTTTTATTTAACTTAAAATTTTTACTATTTTTTATTTAATGCATTTAATTTTTTTCATTAGTAGTCTAGTTATATATGTATTTTAAATTTTAAAATTTAAAATTCATAAGAAAATTAGTAAAATTTATTTAATTTAAAAGTCTAAAAAACAAAAATGAAAGTGTAAAAATATAAAAGAAAAAAGAATATTTATTATAAAATAATTTTATATTATCATTTAAAGTGTTTAGATTTTAAAATCATGTTGATAATATGATATATGAATAAATTTTATAAATTGTTACTGCATTATTTTTAATCATAAAATATAAATAGTTGAATTTTATGAATTGCTTGAATGCGTCTTCGGTCAAAATAATGATTTTTCTTTTTTAGTAATTAATACTAATTATAGTCTGAATTATTCAGATTTCAGAGTGACAACTTTCTAACTCAAAAGTTTCATTCCTTTTTTTTATCAATATAGTTTGCTGCTTTTAATACTCAACAACAAATTATTTGAATCTGCATCATTATTTATTCATTAAATTATTTGTTAATTAATTTAATTTTTGACTTACATTTATTTCTTCCATAGTACATTCAGTGCTGTAATATTTCCGCATAGTAGTTAATATTATCTGTTAATTTGAAACAATCAACAATTTAAATTTTAAGTTCATCTTCACACTGGAAAATGATATAGACCATTGATTTTAAATTTGAAGAACACATTAGTTTCCTAGGTTTCTTTTGACTAAAACTGAAGGAAATTCATATGCAACTTCCAAACACAAAGGTTCCCACCATTTATAGTTGAATTTGAGTTGTTCGTTTGTTTTTCCTACCTCACTTTCAGTCTATAAATCATGGCATGTTTTTTCTCGTTGACTAATCTTCATCACAAATTTATTTATCATATATTTATATAAAGCCGTATCACATTTCAATACTCAAATAAAATTTAATACTACAAAAATATGTATGGGTAGGTGCAACTACTATCATCGTCATATAAATATTATACTATAAATTTCCTTCTGTTTTGGATCTCAAGATCTCATAAAACAAAACAATATAACGAGGATTCCTTACCCATCTCATATGGTTAAATTAAACCTATGTAATTTCTATTTTTTTTAAAAACTTAATTTATAATTGGAAGTATAATATATTTTCAGTTTTGATATTAACAATAGTAGGAAAAAAAATCAGTTTCTTTTTTCGTACATCACAAATTAAAATTTATATAAACTATCTACATCACAAATGGAATAATATATATATATATAATTTAATAAACTTAAAATACATTTGACGGTATATTACACGGTACATCACAACTATTTAAATATATTTATTATTTTATACATAATTAGAATAAAAATTAAATATTATTAAAATTTAAATGGATTATGATTTATTGACAAGTGTAAAACTTATTTATACCGTCAGTGTTTATCAATTAAATTTATGAATTTAAATAATAATTTTTTATAATTTTTTTCAGAAACAGTTATTTTAAAAATAAAGTAATTCTTTTTATAAAGTGAATAAAATTAATAAATTATTCATATCATTTACTAAAACAATTTGATTTAATTTTTATCCTTTTTAATATCCTTTTTTATATGTTTTCTTTTTTTGCATTTAATAATAATAATAATAATAATAATAATAATAATGATAATAATAATAATAATAATAAATAATCCAATTTACCTTTTTTCTATTTTGAAGACAAAAAACTTGTAATATTTATACTTATCTTCTTAAGAGACAAAGAGTCCTAAGCAGTTTAGGCCTTAGAGGAAAAACTGGTGTGGGGAACTTCACCTCCTCAACAAACCAGTGGCCATAGGAACGACACATCATTTCATTACTACTTGTTTTTTTCTTTTCTTTTTTTTTTCTTCTTGATTCTGTTCTTATTAAGATTGTTCTTATACTAGAAAAATCAAGAGAAAAAACTTCAAATACTACAAGGTAACCATTTTTTAGCTGTTATTAAAGTACTATGTCTTAAAAAAGAGAACGTGTTTTTAGCTTGTTGGTCTGTTTGCTTTTTGTGCCAGATCATTCTTTATTGTCCTCTCTTTTGATTTCAAACTTTGTATTCATCACCTTTTGCCTTTTTCTTCATCATCATCATTGTTTTTTGTTACATGTGTTTATTATAGGAGTAGTTGTTATTTTTATTTGATTTCTTAAGGAAATGCTCACAACCATGATGTTTTTTGTGATTGTTTCAGGGTTTTGATTGATTGAAAAACACAAACATGTCTTCTTTAGATTCAACTTGGATTACATCTCTATCATGTTCACCTTCTTCAGGTGATGATGCTTCATATGCATTACCTCAATGGCTGAGATTCATTTTTCTTTCACCATGTCCTCAGAGAGCTCTTCTCTCAGCCGTTGATGTTTTGCTTTTGTTTACTCTATTAGTCTTTGCCATCATTAAGCTTTTTTCTAGGTTTATTTCCAATGGAAGTACCAACTCAGAAGGAGAAATCAACAAGCCTCTTATCAGTAACACAATAGCTTTGAGAACGAGAACAAGAACGACCCTATGGTTCAATCTAACTCTAATTGCAACGATTGTTTTGACTGTGTTGTATACTGTTGCTTGCATTTTAGTGTATAGCAGTTCGGGGATTGAGTCGTCGTGGAAACAGCTTGATGGATTCTTTTGGGTTGTTCAAGCAATAACTCAATTAGTCCTTGTAATCTTGATTATACATGTCAAAAGATTTGAAGCTGTTGTTCACCCTCTATCGCTTCGACTTTTTTGGGTTGTGAATTTCGTTGTCGTTTCTCTGTTTGCTGCTTCTGGTGTTACGCGTTTGGTTTCTTTGGAGGGGAATGAGTCCATTAGCTTTATGATCGATGATGTTGTTTCTTTCATTTCACTACCGGTTTCGCTTTTTCTGCTTATTGTTGGTGTTAAGGGTTCCACTGGTGTTATTAAGTTGAGAGAAGAAACTCAAAGTGTTGGTGATAATGATGAAGAAACAAAACTATATGATCAAGGTTTGGATAAACCGGGTCTTACTACTGGTTTTGCTTCGGCTTCTCAGTTTTCTAAAACCTTTTGGATTTGGTTAAACCCTTTGTTGAGTAAAGGGTATGCGTCACCGCTTAATATCGATGAAGTTCCGTACCTTTCTCCACAGCATAGAGCTGAGAGGATGTCTGTTATCTTTGAGTCAAAATGGCCTAAATCGGAAGAGAGGTCGAAGTATCCGGTTAGAACCACGTTGCTTCGGTGTTTCTGGAAAGACATAATCTTCACTGCTTGTCTTGCTGTTATTAGGCTATCTGTTATGTTTGTTGGACCGGTTTTAATTCAAGATTTTGTTGATTTCACTTCTGGAAAAGGTAGTTCTGTGTATGAAGGTTACTATCTAGTGCTGATTCTTCTCGTAGCCAAGTTTATCGAAGTTTTAACAACTCATCATTTCAACTTCAACTCTCAGAAACTTGGAATGCTTATAAGATGCACTCTCATTACATCTTTATATAAAAAGGGGTTGAGGCTATCTTGTTCTGCAAGACAAGATCACGGTGTTGGTCCCATTGTGAATTACATGGCTGTTGATACGCAGCAGCTATCTGATATGATGCTTCAGTTACACGCAGTTTGGATGATGCCGTTTCAAGTTGGTATTGGTTTGTTTTTGCTTTACAATTGTCTCGGTGCTTCGGTGATCACCGCGTTTCTTTGCCTTTTACTTGTTCTCGTGTTTATCGTGGTGACAACTCGACAGAACAAAAACTACCAGTTTAAAGCTATGATAAGCCGTGATTCGAGAATGAAAGCTGTGAACGAGATGCTTAATTACATGAGGGTTATCAAGTTTCAGGCTTGGGAAGAGCATTTCAACAGTAGAATCTTGAGTTTCCGTGAGTCGGAATTCGGGTGGCTTTCAAAGTTTATGTACTCGATTTGTGGCAACATCATTGTGTTATGGAGCTCTCCTATGTTGATATCAACTCTCACTTTCGGTACCGCGCTTTTTCTTGGAGTTAAACTTGATGCAGGAACTGTTTTCACTACAACAACTGTGTTTAAGATCCTTCAGGAACCTATTAGGACTTTTCCTCAGTCAATGATATCTCTCTCACAAGCATTGGTATCACTTGGGAGGTTGGATAGGTACATGTCCAGTAGGGAATTGAATGATGATTCGGTTGAGAGAAATGTCGACTGTGACGGAGAAATTGCTGTGGATGTTCAAGATGGTACCTTTAGTTGGGATGACGATGGCCTAGAACAAGACCTGAAAAATATTCATTTGAAGGTTAATAAAGGGGAACTCACAGCTATTGTTGGCACTGTAGGATCTGGAAAATCTTCTCTTCTTGCATCGATTCTTGGCGAAATGCACAGAATTTCTGGAAAGGTATCATCATTTCTAAGTTTAAGGCCGCTATTTTGTTTACTACGAGCATACTAATTTGTAGCATGATTATTTATTTTGTTTATAGGTTCAAGTTTGCGGGAGTACTGCTTATGTTGCGCAAACGTCTTGGATTCAAAACGGGACGATTGAAGAGAATATTCTCTTTGGTTTACCAATGAATAGACAGAAGTACAATGATGTTATCAGGGTCTGTTGTTTGGAGAAAGATTTAGAAATGATGGAATATGGGGATCAGACTGAGATTGGAGAGCGCGGCATCAACCTCAGCGGGGGTCAGAAGCAGCGTATACAGCTCGCAAGGGCTGTATACCAAGACTGTGACATATATCTTCTTGATGACGTCTTCAGCGCAGTTGATGCACATACTGGCACTGAAATATTTAAGGTGCTTATCCTCTCGATCAATCATAATCATTGAATCGTTAAAAATATTTGGCTTTAATCATATCTATCTTTTATGCAGGAATGTGTGAGGGGCGCTCTGAAAGGAAAGACCATAGTTCTTGTAACACACCAAGTAGACTTCTTACATAATGTCGATTGTATCGTGGTAAGTCTCTTTTTCAAATCCTGCGTGTGATTCTTGGCGAACAGTGAGTTATTCTAACATTTATATATATATATATTTGCTTGCAAAAAGGTGATGAGAGAAGGAACAATAGTCCAATCGGGTCGGTACAATGACCTACTTGATTCTGGATTGGATTTCGGTATCCTGGTAGCAGCACACGAGACATCTATGGAACTTGTAGAACAAGGCGCGGCCATGCCTGGTGTACCGACAATAACTAAGTCAGCGTCTAATAACAACAGAGAAACCAATGGAGAAAGCAATTCTCTTGACCAACCTAAATCTGCTAAGGGAAGTTCTAAACTTGTCAAAGAAGAAGAAAGAGAAACCGGTAAAGTTAGCTTTAACATCTATAAACTCTACTGCACCGAGGCTTTTGGATGGATGGGAATTACGGCGGTACTCTTTCTTTCTGTGTTGTGGCAAGCATCTATGATGGCTAGTGATTATTGGTTGGCGTATCAAACATCGGTCAAGCGCGCTGAATTTTTCAATCCTTCGTTGTTTATTTCCGTCTATGCAATTATCAGTGTAGTTTCAGTTCTTATGATAGTTCTGAGATCCTATTCAGTCACAGTCTTTGGGTTAAAGACAGCACAGATTTTCTTCAAACAAATTCTTAATAGCATCTTGCATGCTCCAATGTCTTTCTACGACACTACTCCATCAGGCCGAATTCTAAGCAGGGTAAGAATTTAAGGCTCAAGCATAACTGATTTCATATTGATATATATATATATATATATATATATATATATATATATATATATATATATATATATATATATATATATATATATATATATATACACTTTTCCGTTATCGTCATATTTCAAATATCTATGTATGTATAATTGTAACTTCATTGTTTTTGAACTTCCGCAGGCATCAACTGATCAGACAAATGTCGATATCTTCATCCCTTTGTTCATCAATTTTGTGGTGGCCATGTATATCACGGTCGTCAGCATCATCATAGTCACATGCCAAAATTCATGGCCGACAGCTTTCTTGCTGATTCCTCTTGTTTGGTTGAACCTTTGGTACCGGGTACGAATAGTCACTTGTTTGACAGATTAAAACCATTATAGTACTCAATATTATGCTAACAATTCATGTTATTTTTGTTCCTTTTGGTTTTGCAGGGCTATTTTCTTTCTACTTCTCGCGAGTTAACTAGGCTGGATTCAATTACAAAAGCACCTGTGATTGTTCATTTCTCCGAAAGCATTTCCGGGGTAATGACGGTCCGTGCATTCAGAAAACAGAAGGAATTTAGTTTAGAAAACATCAGACGAGTAAATTCTAACTTGCGAATGGATTTCCACAACTTCAGTTCCAATGCGTGGTTGGGTTTCCGCTTAGAATTGCTTGGAAGTTTGATTTTCTGCATGTCTGCTTTGTTCATGATCATATTACCTAGCAATATAATAAAGCCAGGTAATTCCCTCATCATTATATTGCAACAAAATTTTATTATTGAGATGTTAAATTAACGGCTGTTCTGTTTGATGTTCGATGTAGAAAACGTTGGTTTATCTCTCTCCTATGGATTATCATTGAATTCGGTGATGTTCTGGGCCATATACATGAGCTGTTTCATTGAAAACAAAATGGTATCTGTTGAGAGAATAAAACAGTTCTCGAATATTCCATCAGAAGCTGCGTGGAACATTAAGGATCGCTCGCCTCCTCCGAATTGGCCTGGTCAAGGCCATGTTGATATCAAAGACTTGCAGGTATCTACAATAGATTTAAATTGATTATTTCTAGTGTCAGTGATATATTTTGTTGGTATAAATTATAAATCTTGCTTTGAGAATCACACTATTTCCTTATGGTAAACAATTAATCTTCTGTATAACAGGTCAGATATCGTCCGAACACTCCTTTGGTTCTTAAAGGCATTACTTTAAGCATTAGTGGAGGAGAAAAGATCGGCGTTGTTGGTCGAACCGGGAGTGGAAAATCAACTTTAATTCAAGTTTTCTTTAGGCTGGTGGAACCTACCGGAGGCAAAATAATCATCGACGGCATTGACATATCTGCCTTAGGACTTCATGATCTCAGGTCTCGATTTGGTATCATCCCTCAGGAGCCTGTCCTTTTCGAAGGTACCGTCAGAAGTAACATTGATCCAACTGGACAGTATACAGATGATGAGATATGGAAGGTAATTAAAAATTCATTCACTATCTTTGTAAGGTCTAAAACTTTGCTCGACGTCAGTGTTTATAATGAGTTAGTAAGCAGAATAACTTG